AACTACAGTTCTGAAGTAGTAACAAAACAATTTCATGGCTGGGTCCCACACAGAAGTTAGGAGGTAACATCTAAACTCTGGAGAGTTCATATGGAAATTCCGATTCCTTAATAGTGAAACATTAGCCCACAGACGGGCTATAGTCACACATGGATTGTCCTGACTGTGAATGACATGTGCTCCCCAGCTTGTTGTATACCTATTAGGCCTGTGTCCCTCTTTTGATCCCAAGTCAATTTATGGATTTTTTTTTTAAATGTGTACAACCTCTGAACTTTCTCTCATGGCTGAATGTCCAAAAGTCAATTCAAACTATTTCTGGTTTAATGTGTTTATTTTAGGAGCGCACTTGCACCATGGACCAAATGAACAAAGGAATGACAATCTGTTACAAAAACTGAAGGGAACAGAAAGAAAGTACCATAACCACCAAGTTAGAAATGTAATAAACCATGAATAAGGGAAAATAATAATTATAAAAGGTGAGTTTCCAGAATAAAACAATCTTTCCTCATTTCCAAGACAAAGTGCTTTCTAAAAGGAGGAACTGATAGAGCTAATCAAGCAAGCTGTTGTATTAGTTAAATCACAAAAAGTGTATTTCTAAAAGGGACTCCTCTAATACCCTTGGAGACATCACTGAGTCTGACAGGAATGGTAGTGTATCACGGTGTCCACTCACCCGATTATAAAGCTGTGTATACATAGTCATCACAAAAATAAAAGCAGCATGGATGCAGCCCAGAGGCGCCAGCAGGAGGAACAGTGTGAACGAAGCGTGGTTCTGGTGACCACAGCAGTTGTTGATCCAGGGACAGTGGTGGTCCATCTTCATTATACATCTACGAAGAACACGTTTATGAAGCATAGAGCAAACTCCTGTCTCCTTTAGCTCTGGTTTTCAAAAGACCAAGCACATAGGAATGCAGTATGCACAGGAGTCACGGGGGTTAGTTCTGATAAAACAGATACATCTTTACGGCTTTTTGAAGCTACATGGTGACTTCTTTAAAATTTTAAACAGCAGTCAGACATCACAATAGTTTCTCAAGTAATGTGTCTGAGACAGGCAGATCTCCGAGGTCGAGGCCAGCCTGGTCTATAAAGTGAGTTTCAGGACAGCTAGGGCTACTAAGAGAAACCCTGTCTTGAAAAACCAACAACAAAATAATTTCTTACACAAGCTGGGAAGCTCTGCAAGAATCTCATTATAAAGGAGGAAGCTCGGCTGTCAGTCTCTTTAAGTTCATAAATTTCATAACTGACATACAGTTCCCACGTGACTCGGGAGAATGATTATAAAGCTCTCCTAACACAGATGCAACTTTCTTCCTTTCTCACAATGTGTTAGACATGGAGCTTCTGACCGAAAACAACCTTAGCACACACGAGTCAGTGCTTGTGCTCGGTTTCTTTGCTAAAGGTGGACATCCTAGCAAACCAGATTTTATGTCTATCTCAGTATTTCCTAAATTTCATATTAATGAACAGGTTCTGCTGATAGCCAGGTCCTGGCATATTTTGCAATTTTTATTAGTGATTCAGTTTTATTCTCATTAATTTTTTGATAATATGTATGAATGAATCTGAGAAAACCAGTTTAATTCCCACTTAAAAAATTCTGAAGCTATTCAACATGCATTTGTTGACTTCTGTGAAGTTGTGTTACACCTGATTAGTCTAATTAAAAAGCTGAATGGCCAATAGCTAGGCAGGAGAAAAGATAGGCGGGGCTGGCAGGCATAGAGAATAAATAGAAGGAGAAAAAGAGAGAAAAAAAGATTTAGGATGGAGAAAGAGGAGAGGAGGACTCCAGGGACCCCAGCTAGCTACACAGTGAGCCACAGAGTAAGAAGTAAAGAAAGGTATACAGAAACAGAGAAAGTTAAAAGCCCAAAGGCAAAAGATAGATGGGATAATTTAAGAAAAGCTGGTTAGAAACAAGCCAAGCTCAGGGTGGGTATTCATAAGTAAGAATACATCCCTATGTGTAATTATTTGGGAGCTGGGAGGCAGGCCCCCAGAAGAGCAAAGAGAAAAAAAATACCAACTACTAGGAAGAGCAGGTCAGTAGGCTGTGTCCTTCAGTTTCTGGTTCAAGCTCCTGCTTTGGCTTTCTTTACTGATGGACTGTATTCTGCATGCCAAATAAACCCTTTCCTTCCCCCAAATGCTCTGTGGTCAGTGCTTTACCACAGCAGTAGAAAAGTAAACCAGGACACTTGTAGAGAACAAAAGGTTTCCATTGTCATGACGGAAGATATAACAAAAAGCGTAGCGACCAAGAGGATCAGCTCCCGGTAAACAGAGAAGCCACACACCTGTTACACTTCCTGCAATGGTGTGAGCGTGGTGCTTTGTATGCTTGGCAGACTTTACAGTACTGGAGATACATGCTATCCTGAGGATTTTCCTTGATAGAAAAGAAAGGCATGTTAGTTGCTTGATCCTAAACAGTAACAAGTCAGGATTTATAAATGTCCCGACAATGGCATAAATTTCTATTATGGGTGATGGGGGAGGGAGGTCATTAACTCGCATTTCTAATGCCTTTACTTATGCTAAAATATTATGACTAAAAAATGACTCAGAGGTCATTTTTATTTCCTTTTCTCCACTTTCACCCCAAATCTAGTGTCATGGTTCTACTCACCCAAATCTGAGCCTGAGTTTTAGATAACTTGACTAGTATTTCAGAGTAAAGTTATGAGTTGACACTTTCTCAAATCTCCCTTGTCATCTCTAACTGGTTGTTTCTCTCACCCAAATCTGTGTATTACAACATAACATTCCTATCCAGCTCTGCCAGAGCTTTGCCTGAAACTTCTACACACCCCTGTGGCCCAGGAAGCTCCCATGCACACTCTCTCACCTGCTTGCCTTGGTTTGCCTTGGTTTGCCATGGTTTGCACTACTCTGCTTTCCCCCCCTTCAGTCACACAAGGCTGCCCACTTTTTGGATAACTGTTTCCACCTGTTCTCAGATTGAGGCGTCCTCTTCCCTTCTCCGGAAATTTGCTATTTAGACCAGGCGTGTCAGCTCATAGGATGACATGCCTCTGCCTCCCTGGTGTGGAGATTAAAGGCATGAACTACCACACACAGCCTCTTATTTTGAATTGTTATTTAAACAAAGAACAAGTAGCAATTGCTTTGGAATAGCTAATGTAAATCACTATTTCAAATAGACATCAATTCTAATCAGAAGTGACAGTCAGTGACTGGAGTAGCACACCAGGGTCTCCTAGGACAACAGCTGATAAGGCAAAAACAAAATGTGATTATCATGGCCAACTATGTGACGTTCACTATCAAAGCAGATCATTTTCTTACCGGTTTCCACCCCCGAGGGACAAAGCCAGGACCAGCAAACATGGCATTGAAGTAGTTGTAAATAATCATGACAGTCCAGTTTATCAACATGATAAAATTCACACTTCCTCCGGTTGTATGTAAAGGCCAATACCACAGGACAGAGTCGATCATGGCCATTGCAGAACATATTGCTATCACACCAAGGGCAATAATGGGGCCCCAGTGACACAGTCTCTTTAATTCTTGAAGATTTTCAAACCTGATTACTGAGCAGAAGGTGCCCATTTTGGGTGCCTTCTTTCTTTCGAAGAATTAGAGATTCTCTTTTTCTGTGCACACATTTCTGTGTGCATCAAGTCCACGTGTTCCTGAACTGTCATGCCTCTGGCTGACAGAGTGTTAACCTGGAGTACGCCATTTTCACTGCTGACATCCAGACTCCTTTACATCAAGAAGGATCTAGATAGGTGTGAAACTCAACCTAAAGAAATCAAAACGGGAAAATTCCGTTTAAAAATTCCATATGCCGTTTATTTAACTCCAAGAAGTACTGCAACAGCACCCCAAAAGCACACTAGTGTGAGGTTGACATCTTATCGAGGCCAAAAAGAATTACCTTTGGACCGATCCAAAATACAGCCCAATCTTGAACTGCATGTAAACTGGACACATTAAACAGTTTTACTCCTGTGTGCAAACTGTCAGGAAGGATTAACTATCCCATGCTAAGTGGATAGTTAGAGTACAAAGCCTTAGAGAGCTAAGAAGCAGGGTCTTACCCAATTCTTCCTACAACAGGAACTGGCTTAGAGAGGCTGAGTGATTAGCTCAAGGTCACGAGAAACCAAAACAGAAACCAAGGCACCAAGTTTCTTTTAGGCCGTTCTAAATTGCCTCAGAGTTGTGAATTAAGTTTAATATGCTCTACGCATATAGTACTTTGTGTATTAATAACCCGCAGTTGTTCCTGCAAGCGCCAATATTAACAATCGATCAGGGTTAAAGGTACAGACAAGGGTGAAAGCAAAGAAAGCGACGCGCGCGCGAGTGGTTTGTGTGCGTGCCCGCGCGCGGAAAATCACAACTAAAGCAGTGCAAGAGAGAGGGCACGAAAATGTGTATTTAAGGAAAAATGAATTCCCTCCGGGGACGAGGGGGGGAAAGGGAAGAACGCACGCACGAGGAACAGCTGGAGAAGTGAGTTCTGAATGGAGTGGAATGAGTCGGGAAACGACCTACGATAAATGGGTATGACGTCTGCCTAAGGGATTCCCACGGAGCTGCTGCGCCTGCGGGTGCCTCAGTTTCCCGCCCGTGGGGGACCCTCTGGGATCTTCACTCGTGATACAAATCGTCCTACTAAGTGAAGTTGGGCTCAACATTTTGGAGATCCTGAACCGATTAGGTCTGGGCGAAGACCGCCCCACACGCGGGTTGCAACCCCCGCAGTGACTCCCACCTCAGTCTGGTCTCCGGCACCCGCTCCACGACCATTGCATTTCCGGGACGGCCTGGGTTCACCCGGAACAGATTTTTTCCTTCTCAAAGCTCCGTCACGAGCTCTTCACTCCTGCGCAAGCCGAACGCGAACCCTGAAGTTGAGGAGTGCGCGACCAGCTCCCAGCCGCCGAGTCTTAGGTTTACGGGGCCGCCGCCAGGCTCCCGCCACGGCCTTTGGCGCAAGCTCCGCCACAGCCACTTCCGGCAGGTCCGCTGCGTCAGTCTTCCCTCTGAAAGCAGGCGCCTGCATCTGTTTACAGCTCGGGGGAACCCCAGCCGTTTCCCTGAACGTGCAGTGTGGGGAAGTGTTTTCGGTGATCCCCGAGAGCATGGAGGTTTTCGTAGTTCTTTAGGGGACAGTGAAAGTGACGTTTTTCCTTAGTTTCACTCTCGACGACTGAGTGGAAAAGAAAAGACGCATCCCCCTCAGTTTCCGGGGGACAAGGATTGCGAAGAACAACCAGGAAGCGACTGGGCTGGGAGGCGTCCCCGTCCCCGCTGTGCTGTGGAGGCTTCTCAGGGTCTCTGCGCTGAGGCCCGGCCCCCTTCGTGAGTTCTCTCGGAGCTAGACCCCGGCTCCGGCCGGCCATTTCCGAGCTGCCATGTCTTCCGACTTCGAAGGCTACGAACAGGACTTTGCAGTGCTCACTGCTGAGATCACCAGCAAGATTTCCAGGGTCCCTCGGCTCCCTCCCGGTGAGTACCCTGCCCGGCCGGGCGGGGGCGGATTGGAGAGCCGGGAGCGGCGAAGCGCCGCCTGGGCAAGCTGGTCTTCTTAGCGGGGGCGCTGTGGGCGGTGCTGGCGTCCTCGGGAGGGGGGTGTCTCTACTCCTAACGTGCTTCCAATGCAGAGAGCCCCCCTCCCGCGCATGGGAACCATGGGGGGTGGTGTTGGATTCCTACCCAATGGCTCTGAAAGTTTGGAAATACTGCTCTGCATCTTGATTACCCCCCCCCCCCGGTAAATTATAAAGTAAGAGTATTAAAAGAAAATGTATGAAAGTGTCAAGATTGTGGGTCTCCAAATGCAGCATTGTTGTTTATTAAATAGTGCTGTTATCCTTATTTGCGGCATGTTAGAGTGACGAGCTAGAATGCCTGGATTCTAGCCCAACTCTTGACACTTAGAAGTTGTCTCCTAGGCAAGTGTTCATACTCTTTCAAAACTTCCTTCTTGGTTAGAGAGACTCGTACCTCGTTCAAGATTAAGTGGCACACATCTGTGAAGCCCTTTGGGTAGCTTGTTAGGATTCATAGTTTTCAGACCTCTGCCCCAGTTGTGGGTTTTTCCTCCTTCTTGGGTTTTATAACTCAGTTTTTTTTGTAAAACTTGGTACAGGGTAATTTTGTTCCTGTCTAAAATCCCGCATCCCCCAGCTATCACGCTCTCTGCTAGGTTGTCAGCAGTGTGAAGGTGGGAGTCATGTCTAATCTCCTTGGCATTTCTTTTCCAAAGGCTCCAAAGAATGCTTTTGTGGACAAGCAGGTGATTATAATATGGCATCTTGTGACTTGTAAGATAGTGTTTTAGGGTCGATTTTTCTTTAAGTAGAGATTTAGCTTAAGTAGTTAGGAACAAAGTGTGAGTTTTCTTATTAATTTTTGGCTCAGTTTCATTAGGGAAATCAAACGATTGTTGGGCCTCTGAACTTGTCTCTACTTCAGACCTGGAGCACACTGTCTAGAAAAGATGATTCCTCCAGAATTGTGGGTAATATCGCTTTCTTACCCAGACAATCCAAGATGCCAACAGTAACTTCTCTTGGATCTAACTTGTTCCTCATCCCCATTCCAGAATTTCCCCCAATCTTTGTTTTATAAATAATTTTCTTCCTTTATTTCTTTGTCCCCCCTCTCACCTGTTTTCTGTTACTAGGGATATTTGCTTGAAGCCAGGACCTCTGACCTTACATCCCTCTCCATCCCGAAGTCCCATTTAGTTCTGAAGGAGGTGGATGATGTCTTAAAGAGGTTAGAGTCCAAGGGAGGGAGCAAGAGGAGAAAACCAAGGTAGCATGTACCACGGAGCTGTGTTGCCTCAGAGTTTTTGGTGGACAAAGTGGATGATGGCCTCCTGCCTTCATGATACTTCGCCTCGCCTCTTCTCTTCAGTCCCACTTTTCTCCGTTGCCCAAGATCATCTTGATTTTGTTGTCACTGTTGTCTGAGACTTCTGCCTTTGACTTGAGCCCCAGAACCTCAGAGTACCAGGATTTGTAGCTGCAGTTGGAGTTTGCTCGTGTTGAATTTTAATGTGTCTTTTGTTTGTTTTTAGCAATAGAAATATTTCTTGGGCAAATACTTTAGTATTGAGAGACTGTTTTGCAAAGTAATGTCATCCAGGGTACAGAATTGTGTTGACCTTTTCTGAGAAACTAGATTTTGTTACAACTGAGTTTTCTTGCCTTTGTGTTTAAAATTCTTAACACATAGAAGGAAACAGTTGAGTTAAATGTCTTAAAAAATAAAGATATTGACATGCCTCTTCTTATATGTAATGTAACATGAGGCCCAAACAGACTAACCATATTTCATTTGAAAGGAGATTGTATTGCTGGTATTGTGGGAAAAAAATGTGTACTTGAATAATTAAATGACTTTAAAATACAGTGGTTTTCCTCTTAATAATGATTTGTGCTTGCTCCCTTTTAAATCTTCTCCTAATTGATAGAAAAAATATTTTTTTCATGAGTTTATGAACTAACAGGAATTAATAATGTAACATAGCAAAAGCAGTACACTCAGCAAATACTGCTTTTTATTTCTCAATATATTTATATCCATATTATAACTAGTAATTATAATATCCCACAACATCATAATGGTTGTGTCACTCAGCTGAAGTAGACCAAAAGATGAGCTATTATTTACTTGGAATAAGAAGATAAAAAAAAAATTGGAACAAACCTTAATGTCAAGGTAATTTATGTAGGTTGGAGTACCCAGAATCTGTGGAAATGAACTACTCTATTGTACATGTATACGTATTGCGGTGACTTCCAAGTAGAATAGAAAAAAAAATTCTGAAATTTTATTTTAAAAAGAAACTTGATTACTCTGTAATACTTTTTGAATAAAAAATCTTTGCTCTTTGAAGTGTTTGAATCTTAACTAATTTTAATAGCTGTGATTTTTAGAAGGTGGGTCCCTTAATGAATACTCTGTGGTTACTGAATTTAAAGATTGATTTTTAATGATTACTGTTTTGTTCAAAAGTCAGGAAAATCAATGAGCTGCGACCATAACTCTTGATTTTAAAAATTCCTGATTTTGTGGTATTGGGGGGTGAATTGCTTAGCACAACAGGTCTCCACAGGGCAGAACCTCCATTACGACAGGCATCTTGGAGGACCCTCACCAGAATTTCATTTTGCTCTTCTCCCCATTCACAGAGACCTAAGGGTTACAGTTACAATGTACCAAGAATGTATTTTGGCAAAGTGATTAAGGCTTGGGCTGTTGCTGTCAGACCTGTTAGGATTCCTCGCCTGCCTAAACTTACTACAAATGTAGTTGTGATCAGATGTCTTGGCCTCTGTAAGCTTGCCTCTTCCACCTGAAGAATGGGAAGGAAAGGGTGGTCATTTTGATCTTAGAATGCTTTAAAATGCAAATGAGGCATGCAACATAAACAAGAGAAAGCACAGCAGACTGACCTTAGGGGATATTCTTTCATCTGTGCTTCCTTCAGCAGTGGGCAGGCTTGGCCAGGCTCCAGCTCAGACTTTGTCCTCTCAGCTACTTTAAAGAGAACCTTGACTTTAGATCCTCACCTCCTTTCTGTGCCTGATGTACAGTGAGGTTAAAGGCTCTTGATGAAAACCTACATTTCAGGAAAAGTAGGTGCTGAGGGCTTTGGGATGTGGAAGTGGAAATGGTTTTGAATTCAGGATATCAAGAAGGAGGGGAATTGAGGAAGGGGAGTAGCAGTGATGGGGCAAGCAGGTGTGTTTTAGAAGATACTTGGATCTAACGAGGAACTGTGTCACCCTGGAAGGTTTAGGAGACCATGGAAGCTGGCAGATAGGATACTTTTCAGTTGAGTATACTGGGAGAACAGCCATCAGTTGTCACCTATGACAGTTATGCTTTATAAATAAGTGTTTGGGATTTTAGTCATCTTTGGATAGTAGACACATAGAAATTTGTGTCATGTATGTGTATATGCACCTGTTTCCATGTTTAAATTTACACACATTGGCTACACTCAAAATCCAGAGGGATCTTTCACCCTTGGGCAGTTTAGTTAATTTAAGTCATAGCTTCATTTTATATTTGTGTTCCAGGGGGTTGGACTCAAGGCCTTATCTCTTGTTAAACACACACTTAACCAGCTGTACTCCTGGCCCTAAACTTTTATTTTTATTTTTTTTAAACAGTTGAAATATAAAAATCACAAAAATAACTCCATTTACCCATGCCAGTGACCTCTGTTAACACCACACCTTGATATATTTGCTACAGGTCCTGAATCTGTATTATTTGGTGTTGACTGGTGTTGCAGTGATGAGGCCAGTAGGCCTGCTTTTCATCCTGCACTGCTCCCGCACGGCTAGCTTTGCCCTGGAAATAATAACATAGAAACTGTATTCATTTAAATACTGCGTGGCCCATTATCTCCAGCCCCTTATTGGCTATCTCTCACATATTGATCTAACCCATTTCCATTAAATCTGTGTAGCACCACGAGGCTGTGGCTTACCAGGAAAGATCCTAACCTGTATCCATCTCGGGCCAGAGATTCATGGTGTCTGCCTGTCTCTGCTTTCTTCTTCCCACAGTTCTGTTATGTATTCCCCGCTTATCTATGTTCTGACCTATCAGGCCAAGCAGTTTTCTTTATTAATTAACCAGTGAAAGCAACAGATAGATAGATAGAAGACCCTCCTACATCATTTCCCCTTTTTCTGTTTAAACAAAAAAGAAAGGCTTTAACTTTAACATAGTAAAATTACATATAGCAAAACAGTTATGAAGCAGGAATTACAGTTACAATATTTATATCTATTTTATCTTATAACAAAGGAAAACTATAACTATCTATTCTTCAACTCCATCAAAGACTCCAGAAGGATATAATATTACCTAAGTAAATGAGAAGTAAGCAACTTCCAAAACTCCAGAAATGACAGAGACATCTCGCTGCCTAGACAGTCACTCAAAGTTTTTCTGTACCGTTGGAGCATCCATCTTCAGCCTACAGGCCCATGGTATCCAGCAGACATTTCCATGAAGCAGGAAATTTCAAAGGCAGCTCAGTCACTTTCTGCTGTGTCCTGCAGAATGTCTTACAAACGCATGAATCAGGAATTCCGAAGGATCATCTCACCTTTAGGCAAGTTCAGCAGTCCTCTCTCTTCAGGTTCTTTGTGTCCAGTATATGCAACAGTCCAGGCAAGAGCAGTTTCTTGCCCAAATGACTAACCAACTCCATAAGGTGCCTCTTCGATGCCCATTTTCCTCTTGAAGTAGATTGGTGCTGCCAGGAGCAGACGTATCTCATTGGCATGAAAAGCCCTAAGTTATTAAAACATTTAAATGCCATGTTCTGTAGTCTTTGAAAGATATGAAGAATGCCTATCTAACTGAAATATATCTCTAAATATCTAGAAAATCTAACATGCTACAAGCTTGATTATTATTGATGATTATCCATTAACAACCTATATTTCCTAATTATACATTACATTTTTAAATGAACTACATAATCACAATACCTTAATCAAGATCAGAAATACATATACATAATAATAAAATTTATACCAATGTAAATTATTCATATCTATATCATATCCCTCTTTAAATGTAGAAGAACATTTATAAACAATATCTAGGAATATTGATGTAGTTATTTCTCTCCAAACTGCTTCATGCTGAATGGGGGTGCTGTTATTTAGGTCTTTCATGGTATAACTTGTGTGTTAGGTACATCTCAGTCAACAGTTGAGTGAAGTAATTTTTTGAGGGTATTCACAACAACCTTTCAGGAGGGCGTGGTCTATCATACCATATTGGGACAGAAGCAATCCATAGGGTCTCATCCTCTGTGAAAACAAAAGGAAGAACCTCCTTTCTAAAGCATCATATCCTTAGACCCAAATTCTGAAGTCAAGATAGCTTTATAATATACATCCTTTAGTTTCTCAGCCCATACAATGAACCATCTTTCTTTACTTAGCTCTGTCACAGTCAAAAAATTGAAAGAAAATACAATAATATACAGAATCCAGGCTCTCTATGAATTTTCCATTTTTACGTGGCTTATTTTTCTATTTTTTTTAGTCTATAACTATCTTTACTCTGTCTCTTTAAAGACTTTACCTTTTTTTTTAAAGGCATTAACTTTATTCTCTATATTCTTTTTCTTCTCTCTCCCAAGCCTACGTAAGTCTAACACTATGACCCATTTAGAGGTATTTTATGTCTGAATCTGTCCTATTGCATTGTCTTTAATTTTCTACTGTCCAAGAACATTTTTGTTTTGCGCTTTTAAATCACTAAGTGCTTAAGAATCTAAGCTGTGACATTCCTAGGTCAAAAACAGGTACTGTGGGCTTGCCATGCCTAGTCCAACATGGCAGAGCCGCTTGTGACTCTGAATCAGTTGTGCCTCTGAGCTGCAGAGCGGCAGGCTGCTCTGGATATTGGCTCCACCTCTCTCCTATTTCAAAATGGTGAATGTATGATTTCTGCTAGCTCTGGGGCTGCCAGGTAGGAGCCACACTCAGCAGTTTAACTCTGAGACTGAGCGTGCAGCACAGAAACTCTTTTCATTCAATTACAGCCAAATCTGCCACATAGAGCACTGTGTAGCCGAAAACATCTCTCTGTATGGCGGCAGAAATAGTGCTCTCTCATCTACCTCTAAGCCTGATCCCACAGTCTGCCCAGGCAGGGAGCACCGAGCCATTGGCATAGTCTCAGAGTACTTTCTTCCCAATCCCGAGTGGGCACACAAACATCCAGTCTCATAAAAGCCATTGAAATGCTTTAAAGCCGGAGTTTGTGGTGGTTTCACAGCCTAGGAAGCTGCGTTTTAAAATGGGGCGGCTTTTTTTTTCTGCTGCTATTGCTGAAACAGGAAATCTCTCCACGGCACAACTTAGAAAACAGCAAAAAGCTGTGTTAAATTCTCTTTCCCTTATTTTTAATCCCTCTCAGGTTTTTAAGTGGATTTAGCCCCATGTTGGGTGCCACTGTGTTGTAGTGATGAGGCAAGCTGGCCTGCTTTTCATCCTGCCCTGCTCCCGCACGGCTAGCTTAGCCCCGGAAATAATAACACAGAAACTGTATTCATTTAAATACTGCGTGGCCCATTATCTCCAGCCCCTTATTGGCTATCTCTCACATATTGATCTAACCCATTTCCATTAAATCTGTGTAGCACCACGAGGCTGTGGCTTACCAGGAAAGATCCTAACCTATGGCTGTCTCGGGCCAGAGACTCACGGTGTCTGCCTGTCTCTGCTTTCTTCTTCCCACAGTTCTGTTCTGTATTCCCCGCTTATCTATGTTCTGACCTATCAGGCCAAGCAGTTTTCTTTATTAATTAACCAGTGAAAGCAACAGATAGATAGATAGATAGAAGACCCTCCTACATCAGACTGAAGTTCATACTTTATTCACATTGTCTTAGTTTAAACTAGAAAGAATTCTTTTCCTTTTTAAACAACATTCCCTTTTGCATGGATCCTACAAAAGATGAAGCAGTCATGACTCCTTAGACTCCTATGGGCTGTAAGTTCAGAATGCCTTGCTTTGAATGAGCAGATGATTTTACTGGAGTAACAGACACTGGCAGAACACTCCTTGATTGGGTTTTTCCCACTTCTTTGTTTGTTTTACCTCTTATTATTAGCCTGGGATAATGGGTTTTAGCGAAGACTGACCCAGATTGGTTATTTTCTTCCCACAATGTCAAAAGGACATGCTCAATATGCCTTTTTCATTGCTGATGTTAATCTTGATCATAGAACCTTCATCTGGTGATGGATGGAGATAGAGACAGAGACCCACACTGGAGCACTGGACTGAGCTCCCAAAGTCCCAATGAGGAGCAGAAGGAGGGAGAACATGAGCAAAGAAGTCGGGACCACGAGAGATGCACCCACCCACTGAGACAGTGGAGCTGATCTATAGAGAGCTCACCAAGACCAGCTGGACTGTGACTGAAAAAGCATGGGATAAAACTGGACTCTCTGAACATGGCGAACTATGAGGGCTGATGAGACGCAAAGGACAATGGCACGGGGGTTTGATCCTACGTAATGTGATGGCTTTGTGGGAGCCCAGCCAGTTTGGATGTTCACCTTCCTAGATATGGACGGAGGTGGGAGGTCCTAGGTCTTACCACAGGGCAGAAAACCCTGACTGCTCTTTGGACTGGAGAGGGAGGGGGAAAGGAGTGGGGGGAGGGGGAGAAGGGTGGAAGGAGGGGGCGTAGGGGGGGATGAGGGGGAGGGAAATGGGAGGCTGGGAGGAGGTGGAAACTTGTTTTTTTTTTTTCTCCTTTTCTCAATTAAAAAAAAAATAATAAAAAAAATATGCAAAAAAAAAAAATCTTGATCACCTGCTGCGGTAGTGTTTGACACTACCAGTGTGAGCAAGGGATTGAGTCCAGCTGTTGACTGAAAGGCAGAATTGCATAAGAAAGCAGCATTTCTTTGTCTTGCTTGAAGAAGAGGGTGCTGAGCAGAAAACTAAAAGTGGTCAACACGAAATGTAGGTGGTGTCTGTGAATGAATTTGATGACTTCCTAGAGAAGGTAGCCATGGTTCCATAATGGCTTGTTGTTACAGTGTCTACATAAACCATTGAGACTCAACACCTCAGTATAAAAGGCATTCATTGGGACACACACACGTACATGTATATTTTAAAACTCCATTTAGAAAACACAGGCCAAGTTTCAGGAATAAACCACTTATTGTCCAGGATCCCAAACCAATGAGTAAGTCAGTGGGTTTGGGTTTGGAATCAGAAGTCAAGATTTTAAGTATCTGTTTCTTCTATCTTAACGTTACCCCTTTTAAACAAAGTTTTCTAAAATTTTGTTTTCTGCACATAAATGTTTGCTTGCATGTGTGTGCACCACATGCATGCAATGCTGGAGGAGGTCCCCTTCCAGCTCCCATTGGATCTAGAGGTGCAGACAGTTGTGAGTCACCATTAAGTTCTAAGAACTGTCATTGAGTCCCTGCAGGAGCACCAGTGTTCTGCACGGCTGATCCCTCTCTCTTCAGCCTCACACCTTCTTCTTAGCACTATTGAAATCATAATAGTAAGGAGTTACAAGCCTTGTCCCAGCTTGTGGAAGTGTTTCATATACGAGTATTAAATTATAGTCACAAATCAGTGATTTCACTTTATCGCAGTGATGACCTAGCAGATTTCTCAGGTCGCCACTGTATCTGCTATTGGCATAATCTCTAACAGGAAGCAAGGTTCTTTTTAGTCTCTCCTATAAATATATGACCACTTAAAAATTAGGCCCTTCCTTGGATTATGTATTTCTACATACTGCAGAGTCAATGTTCAATGTAGTTTGTGACCCACTAAAGAGTATTTTTTAAAGAGTTATTTATTTATGTACTTTATGAATATGGGTGTTTTGTTTGGATGTATATTCCATACCAGAAGAAGGCATCATATTCCATATAGATGGTTGTGAGCTGTGGGCCCATATTTCATACAAAATATTTACAGACAGGCTCATTGGCCATTAGGCAGCTGTAATCCTGCCAAACAAGCAAGATAGCCATCTAACAAAGGCCAGGATGTATGGCTCCTTTTCTTTTGTTAAAAATGTAGATAGTTTGCGGAGAGGCATTTTCCAAAGCTGTTGACTTAAGTTGTAGGTGTTTTGCTAGCCCCCTGTCCCCTGGAAAGAGAATATTAATGAGTATCCACCTTGGTTTACCTGGGGGATAAAAGGTGTTTTGTGTAATAAACGCGGGTAGATCTTCAGGAATGGAGGAAGCCTGAGATGACCTTCCGAGATGGCTGTGTGAACTGTGTTTCATTATTTCTTGCGCCTCCGTACCAGTTGAGTTAGGAAAAAATAGTTTCTATGTTGAGATCTATGGGCCATGACAGTGAGCCACCTTAAGGGTGTTGGGAATTGAACTCAGGACCTCTGGGAGAGCAGCCAGTGCTCTTAAATGCTGAGCCTTCAGTCCCCTAAGAATGATCTGCTTGCTTTATATTTTCTGATCTGGTTGATCAGAAAGGAGATGGCTGTATAAAAATAAGAGACTTTAGAGCATTGGGTCTAAACCTGTGGGTTGTAAAAAGGGGTCAAATGACCCTTTTAGAAGGGTCACCTAAGACAATAGGAAAATATAGTTGTTTACATTGTGATTCATAATAGTAGCAGTTATGAAGTAGCAATGAAATTAATTTTATGCTTGGGTGTCACCTCAACATGAGGAACTATATTAAAGGGTCGCAGCACTAAGAAAGTTAAAAACCACTGCATATTCAATTTATCTTGTATAATTATTATTTCTTTGATATTATTGCTTGTTTTAGATGAGAAGAAGCAAATGGTTGCCAACGTGGAGAAAGAGCTTGAAGAGGCCAGAGAATTGGTGCGTAGCCTCAGGGGTGTGTTGAACATAGCCCCTTGAGCTGAACCCCGGAGTCCGCTGTGTGTGCTAGGGCATGCATGGAACAGTATGCACTCAGGCTCCACTTCACAGTTCATTGCTTTTCAGATTAAAGGGGATTTAATCACTTCCAGAGATTTTATTCTTTCTAGTAAAGATGGCTCGCTAAATGCCAGCCTCTAATTTATAGTCCTTCAGAATTACTTCCTAAGAACCAGTCTCTTAGTACATGATCTTAGTAGCTGATGTTTGACAAAGGCACACCACACACTAGGGTAAGTGCATTGCTTGTGTGATAAGCATTAACTCTCACAAATTCCTTGTGGGATAACTTGTCTTTCAAAACTGACAGAGGTCTGAGATTTCCACCAGCTTGGAAGCTGAAAAAGCTTGCCAGTCTCTATGGATGTCCACAGAAGATATGAGATTTCTTCTGTATCTGTGTGTATGTACATGTTCATTTGCATGTGTGTGTACACATAAATACATATGGTGTAGAGGCCAGAGGTTGGCATGAGGTGTCTTCAGTTTCTCCAGTTCCTCTCCACCTCTCCACCTTTTTTTCCCTGGCAGGTGTAGCACAATTTCTAACTGGTCTTAGTAAAAACCTGGAGTCAGATATTAGGGGGTGAAAGCTGAAAAGCTGAAAGATCAGAGAAGCAGAGCATCCAGCCACTGAGATTCTTACCTCTACCGCAAAAGTTCTTACCTTACACCCAACAGGAGGCAAGATCCTGCCGCCACGAATCTGCCTCTAGGAGTCCTTAGACTGAATGCCTTCAGCTCCTTTCTCCTCTCGCCTTACAGTCCTCTCTCGTGTAAGCCATCATCAATCACTTGGCTCTGTTTCTCTTTTAGACTGAATCAATCTTGTGTAGCCCAAGGTGGCCTTGAACTCAGAGATTTGTTGCTTCTGTCTCCTGATTTCTGGGATTAAAGGTGTGTGCCACCACTGCCTGGCCTCTAAGGCTAACTAGTGTGGCTACCTCTGCACTCAGATCTTCAGGCCAGCTTTATTTTCTCTTCCTGGACCCCAGGCTCACTGACTCAGGTAGAATGCCCATCAAGCTTTAGGGATCCCGTGCCCACTTTCCAAGGACTGAAATTGCAGGCGTGCATCGTGCCACAACCAGCTTCTGTGGGGGTGCTGGTGATAGAGCTCAGGTCCTTGTGTTCGTGCTGAGGTGCTTTGCTCCCAAGAAAGGAGACTCCCCAATCAGACACCGAAGTCTCCTGTTCCAAAGAAGCAGCTGCCAGGATGTCAGCTTGTTAGCTTTAGTCCCCTGACCCTCAGTTTCCACAGAAGAGATGCAAACACCTTGCTTCCACCAAGATCGCAAAGCCTGAGCCATAAGCCACATACAGCAGCCTGGAAGTAAGCCTATTCTTTGTCCCAGAGAGACATATTGTTTCATTCTTCAGTGGCTCTGTGTGCATAGACTTGGAGATACAGTGTGGAAGACTTGTGAGAACACCACACTCATGCCCAGAGAACCCTGTAGGAGCCTTGGAGAATCATGGTAGAGTGATGCCTGGGTTGTTGCCGCACTCTTGTCGATGAGGACTGACACTTAGAAAGCTAGGAAATGTGTTTGAGGCCCCACACTCTCCTATCGCTCTGTGGGCTTTGTGCCGGGTGTCTACACCTAGAGCCCTGGCTCACACACTGCTTTTTCATGACAACAAATCCTAGGGAGAAAAAGAAGGAAAGGTGTTTTGCCCCCATTGTGGAAACTGTTCGATTGTTGCTGTGCATCATGGGGGAAGCAAGTGGTGGCTTTTCTGAGTACTGAAGGGTCACCAGAGGATGTGCTGGCAGACTCAGGCCTGTTTTCTAAAGGGTTCCATTTGCTGCTGTTACGTATCCAAAACTTTTGCAGCACTACCTTAGAGGTGCCTAGGGATGCAGATTTGATGAAGGCGTAAATCACAAACAATCCCACCCCAGTTTAGAATTATGATTAATAGGGTGGTATTTATTTAAAGGGGAAAAAACTTACAGATCACCGTCCCAGACAACAGCCCTCTGCGCAATCAGGAAGGAGTCTAGTCGCCGGAAACAGCAGGAAGCAAAGAGCGAGGAGGGAAGTGGCTGCTTTTTTTAAAGAGAGAGACCATGCCCCAATGGGCTGGTATCTCAGCGGCTATTGGCTGGAGGAGTGGAAGGACCTCCTGCAACACAGGTTCTTGACTATTGTTGTTCTTCAGAACCTCCTTGGACCCTTAGGCAGCTCTGGGAAGGCGGAGACTTCTCTAGAGGGTGACTGGAGGGCCTGACATTCTTCAGTCTTGCTTTGATGGATTATAGTTGTCAGTGGAGCCGTGCACCAGAGGCAGCAGATTTGGAGGTGTCAAGAAGGAAGCTGTTCTCCATAGCACAGCATACTTTTCCTGGGGTCTAAGATGGACATGACTGGGACCTCCTTGGTTTTCACTGTCTGTTGTTCTCCTTGTGGTCAGAATGACCAACTGTCTCTGTACCATATGGTACCATATGGCTTGCAGGGGCTTCGGGCTGCTGCCACTGTCTCCATCTCTGTTTCCGCATCTTCTAATGCCTGTCCTTCTTTATCCTTTCTTTTTATATTAACTGTTTCTTTCACACTTCTTCTCTCTCGTGTGAGACTTTAGATGCCAGAGCAGCCAATCCTTCTGCTCGGTGGGATAACTAAAGATAAAACTAACTGGTCAGTTTTTTGGATCTTGAGTTATAAACACTTGATTTTTTTACACATCTTAGGGCTAAGACGTGATTGGGATGACTTTCCTACTGATAAGTTCCTGTGGCAGCTTTTTCCTCTTCAGGACTGCTGTTTTTATTTTTTTAAGCCTCTAGAGACATTTTGCTTACTTGATGATGAGGGAAAGCTGGTCTCTTCTTGATTGAAGGGTTTGTGCCAAACCAAGCCCTCATGGAGCTGGCAATACTTTATTATTAGTAATATGACGATGTGACTCTAAAATAAGCATTTTTGTTCGTTTAACATGTTCTGAAAGCTCAATTACTTACTTTTAATGGTATCTTGGATTACAGACTGTTCTTTTGATAAGGAAACTGTTAGAAAAGCTTGATTGTGATTTGATTGCTCAGCTGGTTGTGTTTCTGCCCTTCGTGGTTTGTAGTAATCTATGGACACTGGACTTACTGGACTTATGTGTCCTCTTCTCTTCAGTGGCTGCACGGGCGTTGTGAAAACAGAATGAGTATATGTGCCTTATTCTTGATCCTAATAGACATATCTCACCTTGCAAGTCCACGCTCTCAGTCTTCTCCATACAGTGCTGGGAGTCCTAGCTAGAGTGATGAGAAAGGAATGAAAGGAATACAACCAGGGATGGAAGAGGCCAAATCACCGCCTTTTCAAGATGACACGGCCCTGTTTTTAAAGCTCTAACGACTCCACCTGCCAGTGCTTAGATCTAGTATGCACTTTCAGCCGAGCAGTAGGATACAAACTCACTGTGCAAGGGTCAGTAGTTAAGTCATGAGCTTATCAAGAAAGGGACCAGGAAGCAAATTCCCATACACAGTTCTTCAAAAAAGAGAAAAACCCACCTACAGTCCACAACCCCGGACAGCCTAGACAACAAAGAGGACCTAAGAGAGACATGCATGGAAGACATAGGAAGGAGAAAAAGACAAGATCTGCTGAACAAATTGGGAGTGTGGGAGTCGCAGGAGAGGGTAGAATTGGAGGGGGTGGGAGAGAGGGGAGCAGATAAAAATGTATAACTCAATAAAAAAAGAAAAAAGAGAAGAAATAGGAACAAACCCATCAAGGAGATGAGACCTCTGTAATATAAACTTTATAACACTAAAGATGTTGAAAAGGGAAACAGAAGATGACAGACCCTTCCATGCTTACGGGTTGGTAAATCAATATTATAAAAATGGCTATATTATTGCAAATTATCTTTATGTTTAATACACTTTCCTTTAAAACCCCAGTGTCATTCTTCACAAAACCAGAGAAAGGAACCTAAAATTCATATGGAAGCACAAAGCAATCCTAAGCAGAAGCAACAATGCCAGAAGCACGTGATACCCAGTCTCAAATTCTACTCAGAGCCATAGTAACTAAGGCAGTATGGCCACTGGCACAGAAACAGCCCTGTAGACCACTGGAGTAGAGAACCCAGAAACAAACGCACATGGCTTCAGCCGCCTGTTTTCCCCCATAGGTATTAAAAATACACTGCAAAATAGGCAGCCTTTACAGCAGATGGCATTGTGAGAACTTGGCACGCAGAAGAGTGAAACTAGATCCTTACCTCTTGTCCTGTGCAAAAAAATTCAGTTGAAAATGAACCAAAGACCTTTATGTAAAGCTTGAAACTGCTTTGACAAGCCTATTTATCTTTCCTTATGTGTGTGTATACATACACACATGTGTGGGTGATCACAGAGGCCAGAAGATGGTGTCAGATTCCCTGAAGCCAGAGTTACAAGAGGCTGCGAGTCACCTGCAGAGAGTCTAACCATCCAACTCAGGTCCTTGGCAAGGCAGCAAGTTTACTCCACCCAAACTATCTCTCCAGCTCTGAAAAACACTTTAAGATACAGGCAGAAGCAGGACCTTTCCTAAAAGGACTCTAAAAAACTGACAGATAAGATTACATAAAATTGAAAAGCTTCACACAGCATAGGAAATAATTACCAAAGTGAAGAGACAGCCTGTGGGATGGAAGAAAATCTGCCAATTACACTTCATATGGTGGGGGAGATTGATTTGTAGGAAATAAAAAGAACTGCCAAAACTAGGTGCAAGAAAAGCAAATCTTCCAGTCAAAGAAACAAGCTAGTAAAAAAAAAAAAAGTTTCACGTCCTTACCCATCAGGGAAATGTAAGTTAAAACCCCTGGAGGTTCCATTTGTTTGGTCAGAGTGGCTAACATCAAAGGACAGCAGGACCAGAGTGATGTTAAATCTGTAATCTCACGAAGAGGCAGGAGGAGCAGAAGTCTAGTGGTACATAGTGATTTCAGGGGTAGTCTGGGCTATATTAGACACTGTCTCAAAAAATTAAAAAAATAAAACAAAACCAAAAAGGAAACCAATACTGGCAAGGATATTGGAGAAAGGAACCATGTCCACTGTTGATGTGAATGAATGAATAAGGGCAGTATGGAAATCAGTGTTCTTAAACCGCTAAAGGTGGAAATGCCGAATGAGACAGACATACCGCTGTTGTGTATAGCCTAGGGACTTTTACGTCCTGCCACAGAGATACTTCATATCCATGTGTCCCCAAGAGCGAAGACACGGGAGCAACCTGAATGTCCACCCACTGCCACAGAGATACTTCTCATCCATGTGTTCCCAAGAGCGAAGACACGGGAGCATCCTGAATGTCCACCCACTGCCACAGAGATACTTCACATCCTTGTGTTCCCAAGAGCGAAGACACGGGAGCATCCTGAATGTCCACCCACTGCCACAGAGATACTTCATATCCATGTGTCCCTAAGAGGGAAGACACGGGAGCATCCTGAATGTCCACCCACTGCCACAGAGATACTTCACATCCTTGTGTTCCCAAGAGCGAAGACACGGGAATGTCCTGAATGTCCACCTACTGCCACAGAGATACTTCATATCCGTGTGTTCCCAAGAGAGAAGACACGGGAGCAACCTGAATGTCCACCCACTGCCACAGAGATACTTCACATCCTTGTGTTCCCAAGAACGAAGACACGGGAATGTCCTGAATGTCCACCCACTGCCACAGAGATACTTCATATCCGTGTGTTCCCAAGAGCGAAGACACGGGAATGTCCTGAATGTCCACCCACTGCCACAGAGATACTTCATATCCGTGTGTTCCCAAGAGCGAAGACACGGGAGTGTCCTGAACGTCCACCAACCGACGAATGATAAAGAAATGTGGTGCTTACATCATGGGATTAGATTCTGCTGTAAAGAAAATGGAATCATGACATTTGCAGGAAAAAGGATGGAGCTGGGAACCATTATTTCAAGTGGAATAAGCCAAACTCGGAAAAATGAGATTTGTTTTTAATACACACATCCTAGCTTTGAAAGAGAAGGTATGGGGAAGGGGACCCAGTAAACTAGAGAGATGATAGTGGAAAATTCTTAAGGAAAGGAGAGAGAAAAAAAGAGGGTAATTGAATGCTTGTGAGAAGAGAAGACAGAATAATGAGGGAGACAAGGCAAGCAAGTAAGAACAAAGTGTGTACGAAAATCCATGGGAAAACCCACCAGTGTGTGTGCTAACTTACAAAGCCAGTGAACAGTGACACTGTCAGACCTTAATGCCTTGATACGTGGTGATTTCATTTATTGCCACGCAAGCATGGGGACCCAAGTTTGCATGTAAACTACTGGGCAACGTTGTGATATCTCTAAACCTGGCCCTGGGAGGTGGGGGAGGGAAATAGGCAGATTCTTGAGCTAGCCAGCTATCCTAGCCCATTGGTAAGCACTGGGTTCAGTGAGATACTCCATTTGCTTTTTAGGAAATTTAGTAAAACAAATATAAAAGCGTAATGTTAAAATGATTAATAATGACCATGGAAAAAAATGTTAAACAAATCCTGCTTCTGATTATACATCAATAGAATGGAAAGCAGAGTCTCGAAGGGGTGTCAGCCACAGTCATGCTTCTCATGAGCAGCTGATATGCCGCTGCTGGGCAATAGATATACTAAATGTCTGCTTGGGAAGGGATTGTCAACCTTCACACTTACGATGAACTATATCAATCACTTACATGATCACTGTTCGCAAAAGGCTAATTAAAAGTATCTGATTTTCTTATAAAAGTACATATCTTAGCCGGGCGGTGGTGGCGCACGCCTTTAATCCCAGCACTCGGGAGGCAGAGACAGGCGTATCTCTGTGAGTTCGAGGCCAGCCTGGTCTACAAGAGCTAGTTCCAGGACAGAAACCAAAAGCATGGAGAAACCCTGTCTCGAAAATCCCCCCCCCCCAAAAAAAAAAGTACATATCTTATTTAGAGTTGCTTGTTTGGTCTTTCTGTATTCTACTATAGCTATTCAGTCTTCACAAGTAAACAGCGGTGACAGACTTGCAGTGGTCACAAATGCAATAGAATGCTCTCAGAAGCAAATGCATTGCTGTCTTTTTCCGTGGAAGTTATTGACATAGTCTGGGCCAATTTGCTCTTGTTTCTGGTTTTTCCTCTTTTAGGGGATTGTACAAATTAACCCCCTTTGCAACCTCATAGAGTGCTTGCTCTTTTTCTTTGTAACTATTACTATAGTTACTGTCAATCTAGTGATACAGTGCCTTAAATACATTATAGGCATTGCTCAGTTCATCTTCATGGCTGTTCTGAGGGTCATTAAGACCTCTGTTCAATCCTGGTGCCTACAATGAGGACACAGAGTCTCCGCACAAAGCCTGGGCTCTGAACCGTTAGTGCATTTCTCTCTCGGCATCCATTAAACTCTCATGTGCTGTATGCAGAGTGTTCCAGGATGGCAGATGGCTAAAGCATGCCCTGCTGTGATTTCCGTGAGCAAGGCATAACTAACATAGCAGTATACATCAGTGTGGTTTTAATGTGTAAGAGTTAGGCTGGCAGCCGAGGTCACATGTTGGTTGTATGTGATTTTCTTACCTAGGAAAAACTTTCTCAAAGAAATTTCCTCACATATCTGAGCCAGGCTGCTGCTTCACGGGTGAGCCACAGGAAACAGTCTCCCATCATCCTGGAGATTCAGTCAGGTGACCAGATCAGGCTGCAGGGAACAGCTGCTCCAAGGACACTGATTACAAATTAATGAGAATGTTTTGATTAATGCACGTTTTTCAACACAAATTCTCAACAAAGCAAGCAGCTTAGCACCCAGTGTCATTGTCTAGCTGCTTCCTGAACCAACCAGGAAGTAAATGCTAAAGCATTCCAGTGTTGCATGAGCCACCAGTGCCATAGCTCTGCTTCCTCAGCTGCAAAGCCAGGACTTAGAAGCCAACCCTTTTAGCACTAACATTTGGGCGAATAAAGAATATGCATGTGGTTCACATTTTTTTCCCTCCCACTGCAGCTTGAACAGATGGATTTGGAAGTCCGAGAAATTCCACCGCAAAGTCGAGGAATGTACAGCAACAGAATGAGAAGCTACAAGCAGGAAATGGGAAAGCTGGAGACAGACTTTGTGAGTTCAATCTGCTCTCTGTTGTCCTCAGGGTTAGGTTGCACTTCCACCATATTTCTTTGGTGATTCCTCCCCATGCCTTAGTCAGCATTAAGTGCACAGTCTCAGAGCTCCTGCAAAAGATAGGTTTGTTTAGGACTGGAGATGACAGGGATTAGAGGTGGCAAATGGTAGAAGATGGAGGACATGGCTCGCAGCTAGATCCAAGTGGCACAGCCTTTGAGTCTGCAGGGTTCTTAATAGTGTTTAGCCTTGGTTGGAATTTCAAGCTCCAGTGTCCCGGGCCTTTACAGTTCCTGGGGGTCAGACCCAGGAACAGAAAGTAAAATGGCACTTGCTGGGGATGGGACAAGGAGAACCTAGCACTGTTGTCTGTGTAGACTTTCCATTCTACAAGAAGCAGAGTTCTCCAGCTCAGTACTGTGAATTGGTCTAGCACCAGTTGGCCAGGCATCTAAAAGGACCTAAAGTCGTGAATTTTATGTTATTTGGGTTTTACCACAATTTTAGGATTCAGATAAAAACATTGATAAGATTACCATGAATGATACAAAGTAACGAAAGCGAAGTTGTTCTTGTGCACATGGGCACAGCGAACTAGGATTTCCATAAACAAATCACATTTCATACTCTTCACATTTAAAGTAAAAGAACATGCAGGTGAAGAAAGAATTGTCCCTTACCTGTGAGTGACGCAGTTATGGTTTGTCACACAGATCTGCTGTGTTTGTGAGTCTGGGGTCCACATTTACAGTGGAGTCTAGAATTTATAAGGACCGTTCTGAGTCTGGCTATTCCTTAGTTACTTGTTTGGAAAGTACACTCCAGACTGCACTGTTCCTCCCCACCAGTGGCAGTGGGATTAAGGGAAATGCTCCTGAGGCTCGGATGCATTCTGATCTTACATTTTAGTGGGAAACTCTGAGAAGTCAGATGGCTGCATTAGTCACTGTGATAGTCAGCTATGGTGAGAGATGGTGAGAAGCTGCTGAAGAAGCTGGCAGGTAAGGAGGAAAGGCAGATCTGCCTCAGAGTGTCAGAAGACTCCGTCATGGCTCTCAGAGCATCGTGCTGAAGCAAAGCAGTGCTCTTTGTGGTGGCCACCATCCCTGCCCCTGTGCAGGATATTCCACGCTGACTGACTTCCTTTCAGAGGGCCACTGGCAGACAGGCCACTAAGCCTTAGCATGTGAGCTTTGGGAGGGGCCATAAGTCCCTCTGATATAAATGCCACAGTGTTCCTATTTTTAAAAAGGCACAAGCAGGGGGTTGTGGCAGTGGCGTGGGCGGAGTGTCTCTGATGGGTCTCAGTGTCAGTGCTTAGTTCCTGTGCTCCCCTGGGTCAGATCTTCTCCAGCTGCTCGATGAGACCCTGACTTCTCTTGTAGAAGAAATTTGAGGGAGGAAGAAAATTATACTGATTTAATAATTTGTCTGGTGGATTACAAAACAGAATTTGTCAACTCAAGTTTATACTTAGGAAATCCTTGGATTACTGCCCAGTGGTGAGTGATGCGGGCAGGAAAGCGTCTGTCCAGATTATTTCCATTTGCTCATCTCATTTTCACAGACTTCTTCTGCAGATATATTGTTCTCTCGAGTGCCCCCCAAACACCCCTCAGACCCAGCAACAAGTGTGCCCTTTAGGAGAGCTGTCTTAACAGAAGGCCACAGTCTTGGAGACCAGAAAAGGTGTGGCAAGGTCACTCCATTGCAAGGCTTCTCTCTTACTTGTGGGTGGCCTCTTTCTGTCCTTACAGGATCTCCTGCACACTCTGTGGCTGCTTTGGAATTTAATCACCTCTTAGAAGACCTGTTCCCTAAATCCATCTACATGCTGTGTAACGGGAGCTAGGGCTTCAGCATGTGAACCTGGAGATGCGGCTCAGCCCAGAAGGCTGAGTTCCATTTTAATGTTTTCATGTGAGATGTCACATTACTTCGCTTCCGTAGCTTCTGTATCACCTGACCCAATGTTTAGTCTTACTTTAGGTATTTAGTAATTGTAGTTTTGGATGAGTGCTCCTTTCTTGGTTACATTTTCTTCTATGAAGATAAACAGAACCAGGGACCGTGAGCCTAAGCTTCTCGTCCTGTGACGTTGCTGAGTATTCACGTTTACGTGTGTGCTCACTGCTCCAGCTTTCTTCCGCTGTGTCTGCAGACATTTTTCTCCAGTGCTTTTATGTTGTATTTACTTATGCTTTTTTCTTTTTCTGAGAAAAGCTTGGTCTCACTATTTACCTCTGGCTGGCCTGGAACTTACTGTATAGACCAGGCTAGCCTTGAGTTCACAGAGATAACCCTGCCTCTGCCTCCCAAATGCTAGGATTAAAGGTGTGCTCTGTCATGCTTAGCTTTAAAACATTTTTTTTTAAAAAATGTGCACTAGTATTTTCCTTGCATGTATGTCTGTGTACCATGTGCATGTCTGGGGTCAGCAGAGGAAGAATAGGGCGTTGACTACCCTAGACCTGGAGTTAGACAGTAGTGCTCCACCACGTGGTGCTGAGAACCTGTGTCCTCTGGAAGAGCAGCTGGTGCTCTTAACCATGGAGCTGAGCCCCTCACCTGTCCGTTTTATTTTTAAAATTAAAATGTGTTCTAATTAATGTACATGAGTTTTGCATATTAATAGGGTACACTGGAGCATTTCCATGCATGCATATGCCCACTGCATAGATCAAGTCTGTCCACTCTCTGCCCGTGACTCCTATTCTTCCCTCCCCCCCCGCCCAGAGCTTTTCTTATACCTAAAAAGCCCCTCTTAATTTCTGTTTGCCTCCCTCTCCCCTTCCCTGTCTCTGATGACTACTTTCTACTTGTGCTTCTACAGGTTGACATCTGTTTCCATAAGTGTGAGAATGTGTGACATTTGTCTTTCTGCCCCCTGCCACAGTGGCTCACAGTGACTGGCCCTTGTTGAAGTTCTTTAGCGTACGTTATTTAGTCTCATGGTGTGCTCTGTAGACAGAATGGTTGTGCATCACTGCCTTCAACATGCAGCACCGTAGAACCAAGGAGGCATAGCTGGATCAAGTCTTCTTTAGTCCTGCTGTGTGCAAGGCCCTGTCCTGAGTCCCGAAATGTAGCCTGAATCTGAATCAGCATAATGTTGTTGTGGAATTGAATCTCTAATATGGACCTTGGAGGGGGCTCCGGAGCAGATAAAAATACAGGTTATTATGTTGCCTTTTATTTTTTTTTTCAGTATTGGTGTGAGTGTGACTAGGCCTTGAAAAACAAACTGTGTGAAGTAGTTGGTTCAGGTGAGAGCACATGAAGTTAGCACAGAAAGGCCATGTGGTCAGAACAGTCTCAGAAAATGAACCAGTGAAAGGAGGAAACAGCGAGCTGACGGTTGTTTCTTCCCCTTCAAATTTAAACAAGACACAAACAAACCCCACTGAAGTTGTCTTTTTGTTACAAACACGTGTAAGATGTTTGTCTCAGTAAATGGCAAGGAATTGGAATAGTGTGTGGTGAATCAGGATGCGATTCCAAAGGTCTGGCGAGTGCCCGGGACAGCTGATACTACATTGTGATGCTAGCACCATCTTGTGGTTGATTTGTGTAGTTGCATTTTTTTTCCTGTTACAGAGCTGACCTTCAAGACAGCTCACTCCTATAGAAAGGAGAATTGGGCTGTGGTGGGAGTTGGAAGTAGCACTCTGTCCCCTGCCCACGTCCACTCCTCTCCCAGGTCAGGGTGCCCGAATGCTGTCCTCTCCCGTCTCGCAGGCCATGTGATGTGATTGTTAGGCCAGAGCGGAGCCGCCTACATCAGAGAAGGGCACTTCTATTGACAGTCTCTGCAGTGAGGCTGAATGCTCCGGAAATCCAGCTGCCTGCAGACTGCTGGAGTCGTCCCCTAGGTCAGGGCTCAAAGGACCGTGTGAAACAGCTTGAAGCTTTTGCAGCGGTTACTCTCACTGTCTCTTTTCACAGGTGACAGACAACCTGAGTATCCTCCGACAGCCTGTGCGCATCTTCTATTTTTTTTTTTTTAAGTCTGAGACTAAACGAAGTGTGAATGGGAAAGAGAAATTTAAATTTTGATTTTTTTTTTTTTGGCAAAAGGTTAAGAACTTGATGCCTCTGTTTACATTGTATCTCCCTTGTACTTGTGGCTGCCTGAGATATTTCTGTCTTTGTGGGTACTGTACGGAACAGTTGAAGCATGTTTAGAAATGCAGCTGGTCCCAGCTTTAGTATGTAGCAATTATCACATACTTGTACCTTCTTTCAGGAACATACCTGTATTCTAACAAGAGATACGGGAGCTTCACATTACAGTTAAAGTTGAGAGACCAAACAGCAAAACATGCCTGCTGTAACATGTAGGCCCATAACGTGTACAGGCTGTACCCCAATAGCCCTCTTCCCATTTTTCCCAGATATTGAAGACTCTTCTTAAATTGACTGATTTTTTTCAGTTTTGCTGCTTTAACAAAATAGCAGGTCATAAGATTGCTATTTTTGCTTTTGTAATCAAACTTGCTCACTCTGCTTAAAAAAAAAAAGACTAAGACAATTGCAAGATATATGTTAAAATAAAACCCTGCCTACACTTAGACAAAATTCATATGCTTCAGGAAGTCAGCTTTTCATTTTGGATGATTGTTTTCCAGTCTCTCCTTTCCCTTGCATAACTTTCTGTAACAATGATGTCATACCATTCACATTTTAAAAATGTATATTGTAATATTTACATTTTTGTTTTGTTTTGACAGTTGAGTTCCATAACAGTAGCAGAAGCATGCAATACAGGGAATATTTACATTTTTGATTTATGTAAATTTTAGGTATTTTTAACAGGAGCATCTTACTTTTTCAGTTATGTTAGCTTTTGTTGAATACCTGTATGCTTCAGTTTATTTCCTTCACCACTTACTGTGCTGCAGTGAATATCTTCAAATGGGTTTTTAATCAGGATCGTTTCTAAGAAGGCAAATTCGTAAAGAGAACCCAGTTCCGCAGTTCTCATACCGCTCGGCAGG